CTCGCTATCTATCTCTCTCTCTCTCTCTCTCTCTCTCTCTCTCTCTCTCTCTCTCTTTACTCTTTCTGTAAAGCTTGCCATTCTGTTTAAGTGTCATCCTATGCACAGAGCACTGCAAATGCTCACTTTTTAATAGATTCAAGCCTTTCACTGCCCTGGCCTACTTTAGAATTGCTATGACAGAGTTTTATTGCTCACAGAGTCTTAAAGCGCTTGAATGCCAGTTTCTTATATTCTGTATGCCCAAAATGACTTTTTAATGTGTGCACGACATAGAATCTCCTCACCATTATGCTTTGCACGCCTGTGAATGACACTGCTACAGAAATGCCTGTGAAAAGCATATGCAGTACCACACTGAGCCCTTTGGTGAATATGTACATTATTTATGATGTCAGTGAATGTGTTTTATTGTGTAGCTTTCTGCTGTTTTACTGATATGCTACATGAACCATTCAGAATATATCAGTATGAATTCAACATCTGGATCTGTAGGGTTTGTACACGTCATAATGCTCTTGGGCTACAGATTCAGTGACCTGATCCTAAACATAGCTTGAATGACTTTTGTAAGAATCAGAGCTTGTCTCAGCTTTTAAGAGGACTAACGCAAACGTAAGCAATAGAATCAGCATTTTTTATGATATAACTTTTGTTATTAGAACTAAAATATAACATGAATGATGATGTATTAATGCATATTTGTCATATTAAATAAAACAGAGAATTAAGAAAGGGAGAATTGTTTCTGTAAAAAGACTAGCAATAATCCTAAAATAATAATACTAAAAAATACAAATAGTATAAAATGCCCTAAGGTCTGACAGGCTGCTAGGCTCATGAATATTAATCACGTTTTCTGCATTCACTTGAACCGATTTGCTGAAATCAATATGGACCATGATCGGTGAGCGTTAGCGAATAGGATTATTACTTCTCCATTAATCCCGCCCACTGCCAGTGGAACCAGCAGGAAGTGACTTCTGCTTTGTCTTAAAGATGCAAAAGGCTGAAATATTGAATAATTCCTAAGAATTCTGTTATTTTGACAGTAAAAAACAATAAAGAATACCACTTACATGTAGAATGTCAATTCTACGTTGCATGTAAGACTATTTCGCTTTCTCTTTTTGTGTGCATTTGAGATAAAGAGAAAGCTAGCAGGCTCAGTAAAACTACTGTGAGTTGTGCAACTACACACTAGAGTGTGCGCTACACTGCAAATCCATTGATATAAATGGGAATCATGCACTGTAAAGACAGAGAGGGAAAACACAACTGTCTCTGTTCCAATTCACTGTATTACCACTTTATTTAAATATGGAATGGCTCTTTCCACACCCTCATAAATGCAGTGGATTTACTTGCAGTGTAAGTGTTCTTGCAATAATTGATTTAATCATATAGTAGCACACCTTTACTTTAGAATACTTTTGAATGTGCCTATGTGAAATATGATCTATTTGAGGACAGGCATCTGCTTTAACACTTTGTGGAAACCTGTGTTGGAGAAGCTACTTAGCGTGCCAATTTAGGAGCTACTTATATGTAATTAAAGGGATAAAATATCTTCTTTTGTGTTCTGCAGAAGAAAAAAAAAAAGGTGTATAGGTTTGACATGATGACATGATTATTAAATGATGACAGAATTTTCATCCCTTTAAAATGCAGCTTTAGATGAGCCGAATATAGCATACCCATCATCTCCGGCCAAATCATTTAGCATTTGCAGTATAGTGGCATTAATCATGCATGTAACAATACAGAAACCAGCCAAACAGGACAAAATGCTAGGCTTACAAGTTCTACTAATTAGGCTCTGAAGCATTAGTGCATTTAATGTAGGTCAACAAGTGGCATTAATCATGCATGTAACAATACAGAAACCAGCCAAACAGGACAAAACGCTAGGCTTACAAGTTCTACTAATTAGGCTCTGAAGCATTAGTGCATTGAATGTAGGTCAACGTGCTACAGCCTTAGGGCAGCAGACGGCCTTTTTACTTGGGTAATATGGTAACACGACCATGAGCATGCAGGCATTTCAGCTCTAGATCAGGCCCAAGCACTGTGCCAGTAGAGATACGGTAAATAGGTAATCCATTTTAAATAGTGTCACAAATTTAAAACCCAGGGGATGAAAAAGAGGCCTGATTTAATGCAGGATCCCTGGTCAGATCTGACCTATATTTTGCTATCAGGTTTTGTAAATGCTGTCAGTGTGCCTAGCTTTGCTCACCAAAAGTATAACAAAGATGCAGTGGCTTACACAATAGCATGAATTGACTCATAGCATTGTGTGTTGGTGATTTTTCTGCGATTTAATGGCCTTCAGTTTTTGCTTTGATGTGGAGTGTACAGTCTTTGAGTGCATGAATTCTTGTTTGGAAACTCAAGCCGGTTTATCTCGTTCGTTTGTTACACTGAAAGACTTGAGATGTATTTCATTGTATTGATTTGGCAAACATGGTTTTCCTAGTTGTTACAGCCAATGCCTTTAGAAACTTTTGATGGTGGTTTCCGTCACAATTTGTTTTTGCTTATGTTAAGGTCCTGCACTGATCTCAGAGGTAACCTTGAAAATCGTACCACCGGTCCACTCTACACTAAAAATCTTCTGTTTGAATGCCAAGGGTACTCTAAGAGATTGTTGGATAGAGACAGGTAGCTACTCATACATCCTTGGTATCGATTTCTCTGGTCGCAGATGAAAGCCACAGGCTGAGTAGCTCTTTCATATGGGCCATCCCAAAAGGCACATCAGTCAGATTTCTGAGGGATACAATTTTATTTATTTACTGCCTTTCCAAGTCATTAAAACCTCTAACCTTCCCTTCCTGGGCTTTCACCTTCATTCTTTCATCCATTAAAAGTTTCCTTGGGTTCAGGGATTCCTGTTTAACTTTGATTTGTGTAGAAATGGCTTATCAAAAACAGACGCAGCGATATAATGTGTGCCATGGTTATGGGATTTGAACCCCAGTGTATTTTCTGCCACTGGTCTACTAGTTAATTCGCTCAGGCAGAGGTGAAAGTGAGCCTTGTATGTTTAATGAAGATTAAATTACCTATTTTCAGTCATTAAATTTTAAAAGCAGAAAAGGGATGAATCTGTGAAGTAGCAAATGAGAAAGACAGGAGGAAGATGGTAGAGAATGCGAAAGCCAGACAAAGATTAAAGTTTTTTTTTTCTTCCTCTTTCCCTTCCCCTGTCACATAGTAAATGATCTCTCCATAATTTGTTCCTTACCTCTGCCTCTTAATGAAGCAAGACCATTTTTTTTACCTCCCTGTCTTTCCCCCCATTGTTTTTGCTGTCATATTGCTTCCTCGCAATATTGACAGAAACACATTCTTTGTTACTGCAATAATTAATCGGTGTTATCATATTACAAACCTGAAACTGTGATTGTAAATCCCTGAGCAATTAATCCCTGATCCTTCACTTCCTTTTTACATGCACCAAACCAACCACCTACACACTTTATCTTCACTCTCACACCCACAGCCGTTAGATAGTAGTGTTGCCTGTAACACTTTTCGCCTGACAGCTAAGATCCCCACTTCCCCAAACCTCAAGCATTCCACTTCAGGGTGTTGATAGATGTTATTCATGTAGCTCACCCCAGGGCGCTCCTGCAGGAGGAAGGGCTAACGTGATTTGCTCAGGGCTGAAGGGACCAGAGGGTTGTGCACTCGGCAATGGCGTGGATGACTTCGTAGATCCCAGATATCAATAAGAAGTGCTGCACAGTGACGCTTTCTCGAGGCTTATCACCTGCTCATGATAGA